GGCCCCGGGCCCCTGTGGGGTGCTGGGTACATGCAGCCGGTCGAGCTCTGCGACTGTCTTCCAGGGGCCTGAGGCGAAGGGCCGGCCCACTGCCACCCTTTCTTCCAGTTCCCAGCACTCGTCGGCACAGAGGCCTCTGGCTCTGTCCCCGTGGCCTACCCGCCAGGCCTTCAGGGCACAGCTGCATTGTCTCCCTGCCATCTCCTTTCCTAGAACACGGGAGGCGAGTTTCCCAACTCCTGGGGTTGCAGGTTTCTCACCTTGTCATCCGGTGCTCTTCAGGCAGTTGGGCAGCTCGACTCAGCTTGGGGGCTGTGGAGGTGCCGGGTGCCTCTCTCCTCATCCCTACTTACAGAGCCAAGCCTGACCCATACGGGCCTGGGCTAGGCCCGGGTCAGCAGGACAGCGTGGGGCTGGGGCTGGGTTTCACTACCGGGACCGGTGGGAGGGCACCGTGACCTATGTCTGCGAGGTTCCGGGAAGTCTTAGGAGGGTGGCACGTGAAGCCTGGAAAGAGGGTGGGGTCCCCCAGGCAGAGTTGAGGGAAGGCTGCTACACCCAGAGAGCACTGCCTGTCTGGAGCCGCCAGGACACAAGTGACAGGGACCTGAGGACAGGGGAGGCAGAAAGACGGCAGGGGCCGAGGGGTTCACCTGGGCGAAGGGGAAGAGGAGTTTGGCTTTATCTAGGGTAGCAGGGAGGCTGGCCCCAGGGCGGGGGCTGAGCTCAGGGCAGCCGCGCCAGACTCAGAGGGCAGTGAGGAGGCAGGGGCCCCGGAGAATGGTGCCGAGGCTGGGGCTCAGTGAGGAGGCTGAGTAAACACCAAGAGGCCGGGGATCCCGGTTGAGGCTGGGGGCTCGGCAAACACCGGGCTGCAGTTGTGTCCCTTGCCCTGCCAGACACCCAGCAGATGGTGGAGGGGGGGCCTGGGAAAGGCTGGGTCTCAGCCACCTGGGACCCCTTGGCCCTTGACCATGGAGCAGAGCTTGAGAACTGCCTGGGGCTCTCACAGGCCTCCCTGCTGGCCGCTGCTCTGTGCAGATGTGAGGGAGGCAGAGGGAGGAGGGCCACAGGGGCCCGCTGAGGCCCAGGGAGAGGGGCGCCATTTAGGAACCCACGCAAGGTTTGCCAAGTGCCCTCAGGTGTCAGGTGCTGGCCTCGTGGTAACTGCTGGGAGAACTTCATGCTGTTTGGGTCCTGTCACAGGGTCCTGTCACAGGGGCCAAGGGCTTGGCTTGGGGGTGGAGTGACTAAACCCCAGTATCCGGGAATCCAGGGGCCTCAGCATGCGGCCAGACGCTGCTCCAGCCCAGCCTGCTGAAGTCCTGGCTTCTCTCCTGCAACAGATCATGAGGCCTCCTGGGCTAGGCGGGTGGGCCATACTCTGGAGCCTCACGCCTGGCCCCTGGGTCTCCTCCCCATGTCCTCAGGGGTGTCCGTGGGCCAGCGGTGGCAGGACATCCTGCCTGTCACCCAGAAGCACAGCCGTGACCACATTCTGCTGTTCAACGACGCGCACTTCTTGATGGCGGCCCTGGGTGCTAAGGACTCCCAGACCACGCGGGAACTGCTGAGCACCCTCCAGGAGGCCAGCGAGTACAGAGGGGGACCCCTGGGCAAGGGCAGGGCGAGGAAGGGGTGCAGCCCCGTTGGTGCAGGCAGCTTGGGGATGCCCACGGAGGGCTGCCGTGCATATGCCCCGCAGTCGTGTGTTTCCAGGTGTCCCATGGTGTGCCTCCCATGGGTACAGTCGTTCTTCACAGGACACAGCTGCCTCCGCATGGCTACGATTGCTTCCGTGTCACGGGCAGCCTCCCGTGGGGGGTGCAGAGGGGCCTGGAACCAGAGACGCCGGCAGTTAAGGGCCCTGAGACCTTGGGCAGGGCTGCTCGGCCCTGAGCCTATTTCCTCGTGTCAATGGGTGGTGCTAGCTGAGGGTGAGCCAGGGCCACACCCCTCCCGGCAGTGCCAGCCCTGACTTTGGTGCCGAGTCTTGGCCCGGGTGTCAGCCCTGGCGGCCTGCAAGCTGGGTACTCTGCCGCTCGCTTTAGAGATGCAGGGGCACGAAGCTGGGACCTGTCGGGCCAGGTAGCCCGTCGCAGGTTGAGCCCCATGCAGACCTGAGCTCCAAGCCCTCCCGGGCCTCTCCTGTCACCTCACCCCGCAGTGGGCCCTGGGCCAGGGACACCCAGCTGTGAGAAAGTCCCTCAGGACACTGTCAGGTGGAACCCAGACATGCCATGACTGGGCAGGCGCTGAGGGCACTGTCTCGGCTTGGCAGATCCCCGGGGGAGAACTGTCAACACCTGCTGGCCCAAGACGTGGGGCTGCCCCTGTGCCAGGCCCTGGTGGAGGCTGAGGATGGGAACCCCGACCGTGTCCTGGC